CCTCAAGGAACTGTACTTGGGCCAGTATTATTTCTTGTTCATATCAACGATCTTCCGCAGCAGATCCAGTCACCATGTGTCCTGTTTGCAGATGATTTGAAAATCTGGAGGATCATTGAGAACCAGTACGTCTGCGCTCGCCTCTAGCATGACCTAGAGTGACTGTCAACGTGGTCCACTAAAATGCCACCTCATCTTAACGCAAGCAAATCGGAGTTCATCAGTATCACCAGACGTCCAGTCACTCGATCGTACACCCTGGATGGCCACTTGCTCCACTTCAACACATCTGTCAGAGACTTAGGAGTTCTCTCGCGACATGATATAAGATCACTAGAAAGTGCAGAGAAATTGTACCATTCGGGACTTCGTATGCTCCAGGCATTAAGACGCAGTTTCTCCTAAGAAACCGTCCCTCGTCTATTCACCTCGTTCATTAGACCAACCCTTGAATACGGTGCCCCAGCTTACCATTCGATAACCTAGTGGGAAACTGAAAATCTGGAGAAAATACAGCATATCACAACTATAATGATACTAAGTTTACGAGAGCTTCCGTATGAAAGGCTCGGACTCTACACACTATCCTACCGCCGAGTAAGAATTAACCTTATTATGACCCATCGATTACTACACTTGAATCACTTCCCCATGCTGCGGCCTATATTTCACCTGCGGGAACCCTGTAACACCCGAGGACACCGTTACAAACTCAGGGGCCCCTGCATTAACAAAATATCACATCAGGTTTGTATCGGACGAAGAATCGTAAACTTATGAAATACACTACCAGAAGGATTAATACAGGCCGATTCTATGAAGTGTTTTAAAACACGCATCGACGATTACTTCGGAAATCTGTGCTTCTGTGGAACGGTGCACATACAATGCCAAAAGAAGAAATCGTATGCCCGGAAATAATGACACCAATAGGAATTCCTAACCGAACAAGGATAAACGATTAACTGAGCAGACACAACCGCTGATGATTCACAACAAAATGTTTTTGATTTTTCATTATTCGATAGAGTTGTCCAGAAACTTTTCTACTTGCTCTTAACTATAGTCTCAGTCTCAGACCGCAGCTTGAGTGTCCAGAAGAGATGATCTTATCTTGCATGAATGTCCAGTGCTGATCATTGTCTTGCAATAGATTGGAGCTCAGTGCACCTTCGAGGAAACATTGATAGCTTTACTGAACCTAGGGAGCAGCTAGTCGATTTGTATCATTCCTCGTTTTCAGAGACCCTTCAAAATTCATGCAACATTTCACACAAGCTAGCGCATGGTCTTAATCAAGAAACGTGGACCAGTATGATCTGCAATCACGTACACTACCGCGCTATCTGAAACTGATGATTTTGGACCACAGTCGCTTTAGTGAGAGGGGTGCCAACTAACGGAACGTCTGCTATATATGAAACGAGTGCCTAAGAGAAGCAGACGATTATCTCCTTACATTGTGAGAAGGGTCTCCATTACCTCAGCGGCTCATCGAACGCATGGGAACAGCCGAGATGATGTTCACGTGGTGGTAACCGACCGCCCCGTGCATCGAAATCCCCAACGAGAACAAGAAAATCAGATGTGAAAACTGTGCTCAAGAACATGAAATTTGCGATAAAAGTCGTCTCTGACCAAGTCCCCGATGCAGTCAGTTGGAGCGTACGCAGAGATCACAAACAAGTTACTCTTTTCGCGGTGTCTATTGCTCCTCCATAAGCCCCGAAGCTGAACTGCACCCAGTCGGCTGTTAATCAGTAACCAGTCCATCAGCGTCGCATCGGCTTCGTTACTTAGTTCCACCACAACGCCAACCAAACTTACTGCGGCTGCTTCCGTTTCACCAGACAAACAGGCGAAATAGAGCTTCTTGGGCCGTGGAAGATGTCAACTTATCACAGCACTGGAATCTTCCGATCGGGTTTCGGAAAGACGGCAAACATTGATAGTGAAGAATTTCAAAATACGCGCATGACCAGCCTGTTGCGCGATGTGCATTAGTGTTCGCACACTTAAACACGTCAGACGGAACGAAGACTGACGCCGAAAGAGGACCAATGGTCGTGCTCTGTGGATCTCGACGAAGCCATCGGGTAGAATTCTGGAAGCAAGAATTGGCTGGTAATAGCTAACAGTGATTAATAATAATTGCATACGTAACGGGTGAAGAAGTTACCTGAGTAGCGGAAGCAAGAGAAGTTGAGCACGGTATAACGCGTGGATGGCCTAGAAAGAAGGAAGGCATCAGCAGTGCGCCGGCACGCAGTATCGACGCTTGGCCACCGCGCAACCAGCACCGGTCGCACGTGGGCTAAGGATACTGCGAGGATCGCCCGGTCCCTACGCAGGCTCGAGTCCGTGCCCTCAGATTACATGACAGACCTGTGTCGTAACGTTGACCTGTCTTCGCTCACTGCCTAGTTCCGCGTCCAACACAGCCGGGGATAAATCAGGAGGACCACAACTTGGTTGACCAGAGAGGATTTATCAGGATTATTCATGGTCACATTTATAAGTCAAACATATGCTGTCGCTGAGCTTTTTGTTGTAAGCTTACTCCCCCATGTGCCAACTGTTTTCCTGGCTGACACATAGACTCAGCCAAGGTTTGCATCTCTGGCGCCCGTGGTTGTTTTTGACACCCGAAGAGTTGTCTCACATGTCGTGGCTCAGCCATTTTGTCACGGCTCGCACGACCGAGTTTTTGGTTCGAACACCAACATGGAGGAAACTTCACTGAGTTAACCGACTTGTTCGTAGGTCCTTGCCTTGCGTCGAGAAAGTGCATCCCTGCATTAGGCCGTTTTGCCTCTCCGACAGCAAGTGGTCCTTAAGGCCTGCCATGAATGCTACATGATTTTGTCCATCGGCATGATAATACCCGGTTGTCCAATCCGAATGAGGGAGTGGTCCTAGGAAATATCACCCAGAGACTTTGAGTGAATAGCTTGTCCGCAAGGCAGCGAGGCGAATTCTAGGAATCGTGCACATTGGGAGTCAATGACTGATTGTTCGGTTGGCACGCTTTTTGTTTGGTACACCACGAAATAGGGACCCAATCCTCCCCATGATGTTGGCACACATTTGCTGGAGTACAATGCTTCACTGAGGTGAAGCAAGGGGCAGTGACTTTCATAATTTGGAATATTCTCAGAGACTCATCAAGTACACTTGTCTGAGGCAAACAATTGTTCATGAGCCTGCAACTCATATGAGAATACACGATGCTTAGTTCGGAGGTTTGTTACAAAGTAAGTAGGTCAACAGTTAAGCAGCAGAGTTCACCACTGTCTCATTCACACAGACCGATTGAGGGTTATGTAGCCACAATGCTTACCATGTCAAAGTGACGGTTGTTCGGCGAAGGCAGACAAAGAGATTGAACAAAGTTTTCTTGCGAGCACAGTGGGAGTTGAAGTATTCGAATAGCAATGGCCTCTGCAGTGACGAGCATCCTTAACCACAAACCTTCCGACATCTTGGAAAATACTTGGAACCGATCGAGAACTCATTATTTCAGAAAGGTTTGAAAACAACCGGTTTGTACCTGGTTAATCACAGTAAACGCATTCGGGAGATTAACTCGGTGACCTGGTTCGAACAGGTGGGATGAACTATTGCTTGTAAGCACTCCGGCGCCTCCATGCGACGCGAAAATTGACCAGCTGTTTGACCTGTATATGTTGTACTACAAGTACATGTATGAAGAGGTCAGCTTCAGCAGTCTGTCTTTGTTGCACACGGGAATTAGCTGGTTTGTGGCGATACATCGAAATCCCGCAGCCAGAGAAGTGTTCGTTATTGACTGTGTCACATTTTTGTTACAAGCTCAGCAAATGTATCTAGTAGCGAGTCAGATCCGCAGTGTGTTAAACATAGATTTTCTTAAAGCATTCTTTATGTCATTAGGAAAAGGCTAACACTTGTGGTAAACGCTTGTCGCTACTCGGTGGTTTACTAGTGCGGGCTGACATTCCTGAGTTGGACTTGGTGCAATACCGTTGCTATCTTTCTCTGATGAGTATAAACAAGTACGAAACCGTTGGTGAAGAGCAACGTTGCGGGCGGGTAGCAACCAACATCTACGCCCTTTGGTTGTTTTTGTATGTGGTTGAAGGGCGGCCTATAGGACCCACTTCCATCGACCGGCGTTTCTTCAAGAGGCCTACCGATGTGGATCCTTCGGTCACATTCCGTTCGTTGTCACTTATTCATTCGTTATTATGAGGTCTGTTTCGAAGAAAATCTTTCCGTCGCATTAGCTTATTAATCAGTGGACATGCTCCACCCAGGGTAGGGAGATGAATTTCCTGTCACACCTGACTCGGTCATCTTCCGTTGACACGTTATTTGGCTACCGGACTAGTTTCTTCGATGTATCCAGCCTAGTAGACTTCCTGATTCCATTATTAAGTAATCCATCAACCATTTACCAGCTTCATTATTGGTTTGTTTTTGAGTACCCCTCGTGTAAACGGATTATGGCACGTGATTTCAATGTGGACCTTTACTGACTGTTAAGTGACCCCCGATTAGTTCGGTCACATTGACTATATCCGTGGACTATCGATGTGAACTGCTACTCATTCTCACCTCTGCACTGTACAGCCGATTTTGCGACTGGTTGCGCTCTTCGGGTTGGGACAGTAAGGTTGCATATCGCGATCCGTGCACACAACGATCACTCTAACGCAATCCCAAAATGTATTCTCAACCATCGTGATAATCATTGCCGGCGGAGTTCCTTGGTTTGAGTGTAAATATGTCGATCAGCAATATCTGCGTCTTGTGCTCTACTCCCTAGTCTCGCTTTTTTTAACCGAACGGCTTATACAAACACGGACCCAGTCGGGGAGTACAGAGTTGTGAGCAACTGACACTTAACACTCATCTGTTCGCGACTTTACCGTCACAAATTTCATTCCTCTGCCTTCTGCACGGCAGACACTATGGAACAAATTGTTCGCCCAAACGAATTTCATGTGCGGTCATCATAGATGTCGATTTTTGGAAGACGTTTCTTCACTTCTTCATTGTCTACCTCTAACTGTGGTTTTCGCATAAATGCCCTTTTTGAGTGTACATTCTCCCATTCTCTGTTACAGGGAACAATTGGGCTAATGGGTACTTCATTCATGCCGCTCGTATCCGAGATGGACTGGAAAGTCTTGTCCAGCGTCAACTTGAACGATGTGACCGTCTTGATGGTCTACTGGCCACCATGAGTCTTGCTGGTGGCACCGGATCCGGTGTCGGGACCAGTCTCTTGCTGTAAGTCCCCAATCCTTCCTCATACCGAAGACAATGTTTAATGAACCAAATCTTATGGCTATTTTGTATTCTGCAGCGCTAAGATTCCTTATGCTTTGTCAGCTTACGTGCTTGTTAACTGTTTGTTACCATTGTCCATATTAGGGTTAGATGCAGATCTACAGTACCTCTTCAGCAACAATGTGAGAGGCACAAACAAGCCACCCGGAAAATGCATTCATACGGTCCCTATCTTTATGCGTTGGGGGATCAACCACACGTGGGATTGGGGCCTCCGCTTAACATAAGGTTATTGTATTCTACCTATTTCTGCCACCCTTATTCAACTTTTTTAACGTTTTAAGCCTCTTTTTTTATCTATCCTGTTTTTTCCTCTCCTGCATTCCAATCACCATCGATTTTGCTGCCATGGCTGTGTGTATCAGGATAACGAACTTCCACGCTCCGATACCGCAAGCACATGACTTAGCTGCTGTTCAATCGCCTTCGCCCAAGCTCATCGACTTTCACGGTGCACTTAAATGCTTTATCATAATGAGAGTAGGGCCATGTACTCACTGGTCACGCTAAGCTGTGCCACCCGATCTCATCACTACCGAATCTCTTCTCACTGTTTTGTAGGCTAAGAGCAGAGCCATTCAAACCCACTCACGCCGTCTGCTCCACCCAGCGTCTGTTGACAAACGCACTGGCCTTTGCCGCTCTTCAGGTGCATATATCTTCTGTCACCTTTCACCAGACAGCTCTTTCTCATCCATCCATCGTGTTTCGACTGCCGTTAGCCATCGTTCATGTTCATCGCACTAATTTTGTACGGTCCAATGTTACGTGAGATGCTGATTGGTTCGAATTTGCTTATATCTCTACCATACGAATATCACAAACCACACATCCACATATGTCTCTAGAATCCAAGCACAGTCGCTGCGTTTCCAAGATTAACTCAAACAGTTTCTCACTTTCGTTTGCATATCAAGCTGTATTGAGTTGTTTCATTACTGATACCTCCCTAGCTGATTCCGAAGCTACGTATGTATTGCGGATTCTGAACTCTAAGGAGTTCGTGGTTCCACCCCGAATCCTACATTTGGCGTTAGTCCAACGCAATGCCTTAGCATATAATATAATGGTCAAGTTTTCTTCAAATTAGGTCCTCATCACTCTCAAAATTAAACACCCATTACCTCAGTGGAATACCGTCACTGTTCATGTGCTCACTGGTGCCATTGTTACACCAGATGCGTGAGTCCATCCATTTCCATTTCACTCGTGTTCTCTCGGCACAGTCTGCACTCCCCCCCTGTATTCTTAAACGAGCAGCTGACTAAGTAGGTCGGTTGGTATTACTCCCACTTATGCCAGATGCAGACCTTGGACGGAATATGGTGTGATATGAACCACCCATTCTATCGCCCCACCTGAGCTCTGCAACCACCGTAACGCGCTTCCTCACGCATTACAGGTTGTCTAGCCCACGCTCATGCCGAACCTATTGGTCCTAAGTAGCGACAGATGTTAAATCGAGCAGTATTCAGCGACCCATCAATCATATGCTTTCCATGGCGAGACTGTCCTCTTAAGTCTCATGCGCAACGCGACCTGATTATCTTACTTTGAACCATTGTCTTGACTGATTTCGATAAGGTCACGTCACTCACTGGTTGTCAGACCCGACTGATAATACTCAGTTCGGCGTTGACACATTTCATTAACACTCGACATGGTTCAGTGCAGTTCACTTGAACAACTATGATCCGAGCACCGAAGTGCGGTGGATCTAATCGCCACGACTCACACCGTAGGGATAACAATAAATAACAGCGGTAGCACAGTTGGTCTGGGTGTGGACAGAATGTAGGGAAAATAGAGGCAAGAAGGAAATGCGTTAGACTAATCCGAATTGGAACGAAAATTAACAATCAGATGTAAGAAACCAAATGCAGGAACGCCACTGACTTCGTGACTGCGCAATGTCTGACACGATCTCCAACCACTCGACATGGTGACAGAAACGGACACGGCAAACACTTAAGCCAGATGGAGGGTGTACCCCATTTGCTTCTGGACACATGGGCGCACTTTTGACTGCGGCGTGTGTGGCCTAAATACACACACTTCCTTTTCTCGAACGCGCATCGGCGCACTTACTGAACTGACTATCAGCTGTGCACGTAGAAAGTAGTCCGATACCGTCCAGTCTTTTCATGACTTAACACTGCTCTTGCGCCATTAAACCCTCTTAATGCCCTAGCTTTCTGGTTTTGTCTAAATTGGCGTCCAACTCCGTGACGCTTGTCTTATCAGCCTCGCCATTAGACTGCGTTTCCTCTCAGGAGTGTTTTGATTGTAATCTGCATTCCCTCTATTCACTCCCACCATGCGCCTACAGCGCCTTGCTCAGCTGACATCGAGCGTAGCGGCGGTTTTCCGATGTCCAAACCACACAGTCGTGTCTCTGGGCCTTATTGGACAGACTTGAAGTTGTCATCGCGTTGCTTTTCATCGAAATAATGTGAGTTGACCATGTAAACGCTTGCTAGACACACATATGATCATAAGACACATGAAAGGCATTACAAATGCAATCGATAGACAGTCATTTTTCACCTAGGACCACTTCTGCCTCTCAGGCAACAGTCTGGTATAGCTCATTATATAGTTCCGAAACTAAGGCTCGGAAGCATCTGCATCAAGTCAGGTCAGGTCCTATTTCAAACAGCCGCGCTAATGGAAGCTGCCTGTATGTGTGTTCGCCTTGGGACATTCCTTAGATCTCCAGGTGTTTAGTGATAGCACTTTTTACCCGCACTCATTTGCAGTCATTTGTGATATGTTGTTTTGGATTGCAAAACGCTGGCTTTTCGCACACGCTTCTTGTCCACTTTGCAGCTTTGAACTTGCTCACCATTCCGTATCATGCATAACGACGATTGTCGTCACATACTTAATGTCAATAAGCGGTACTTGTTCATTGTAAGGTGCATTTTGCGTCTTACTTCTTTTCCGTGTTATATGCAATGTGGTCACACTGTAAGTTCCATTTACTGACATTCGCATCATTGAACACTTATGTTTTCCTGCAAGCTTTAAGCCGGACTTCGATCTGATAAACTAAACGCCCTTCTAACAGCGTCTCATTTCGTGTGTTTGCTCTGTACACAGCGGCCCACGGAAATCGATGCCCATTTGTCTACTATTACGAGGGACTGCTTATCTATCACCATAAACAGAGCATGTATAATCTTCACATCTACTCATTCCACTCTTTTCCCTGTCTTTTTAGTCAGCTTCCCGATCTTTTGCCTAAAACACCCACTTTGGCTCAACTCGTATGGCCGTACTGGCGTGGTGAAGTTTCGGTACAGGCTTACAACGCCATCTTGACCCTCGGCCATTTGTTGTCTTCGGCCACCATCGGCAGTTTGGATGGTGTCATAATGCAGCACAATGACGTGTTGCACAATATTTGCACAAACCGACTGCGTGCCACCAAACCAAACTGTCCCATCGGCCTGGACCAACTCAATGCCCTGGCTGCACATCAATTAGCTGGACTCTTACAAGTGGGTCATCGATCGATGTGTTATCGCCGATCTTTTGCATATGCCGATTAAGTTGTTACTGATGTGCCCGTACTGTTCTCCTCACCTACCGGATGAGCATGATCGACTGGATGATCTCCAATGACCTACTTTTTCAAATATGCATGGGCGCGAAGACTCTCACTTTCTGTACGAGAGCGCATGTCACCTCAGGCACCCGCATTCCACATATCTCTTGTAGTTCCGACGTGGCGCGCTACAGATATAAAACACTGCTTCTCCATTAGCGTCTGAAGAGAATGTAACTATTGTCTCGGTATATTGATAATGGTATATTGATAATGATTCCGTTTCCGAAATAGGACTGACGCATTCACTGTCATCTCTTATCACCACAGCCCTCGGTAGTTGTAAAACCGTTCTATCACCCTCTGTGCACGTTTTGCTCTTCTCCATACACCGGCTAACACTACTAATCGCAATGTGCAATTCATTTGACGTGTAATACATACAGTGGTTTCCGGACGTGCTCTTGTCTGTATCGCCTAAATTGCAGTGCAACTCTGACAGTCGACTCTTAAAAGTGACCGACAGGGTTCATGAGCACTCGGTTACCGCGTATTTCATCGTGACGCGACACAGTGCGTCCTATATCATGTGCTCATTGCGCCGATCACGAAACTTTGACCACTGAAAGTGCATGCATGTATGTATGTATGTATCAGAAGCCGGATGCCGCCAACCATATATATATATATATATATATATATATTGTTGCATGGCTTGCGCTGCACCACCCACAGCTCCAACCACACAACGCATATCCGCTGTAAACCCGAAGAAATAAGACCGGGAGGCATGTGGATGGCAGCCAGATTTCATCAATGGAGCCGGCCCACACTTCTTCACAGGCAAACACAAGCGCGCTGTATTTTGCAATCAAGCGCACACAAGACGGTGGCTAGACAGTAGTCCGCTCCACACTGAGTGCATAGAACCACTCTTTGATCCTAACAAGGCTACAAGAACCGTGCACCCAGTCCCCTCCAGCAACGACCAACTGTCTCCTAGAGCCAGTATGGACGAGGTAGTGGGCAATAGACAGGTGGGCACATCAAGCACTGCCACATGGGGGGTATTAAGCAAGAGCCAATCAGTTGAAAGAAAGACAACAAAGAAAATAGCTCGAGTAATGCATAAGGATGCGGTGACATAAATCTTAAATTAATGAGCATATGAAATAAGTTGTTTACAAACTAATGCGAGATAAGTTCAGGAGGTCAAAAAGTATATTTTATGGAAATGACACAGACACGAAAATGTTATCGAAATTAACTGCAATTGGTTTAAGCGAGTTCTGCAGGTATATAGAAAGGCGTATAGGTGGACATATATTTGAGAACGAAAAGCATTAGTACAAAATTGAAAACCCAGCACCTGAAATAAAGAGACTTAGCATGCAAGCACGCGGTTAGTAAATCGAATACAGCGTACCTACATATGCAGCGCTGGTGCTACCTACGTTCTCTGCAGGACCCGTCCTCGCTTCGGTAGTAGTCCCGAGTGGCCTCGCTCATTGCTCACTACGCCTGCCTGTCTCAGCCACTCGCAACGCATGTGATACAGCACCATGCGCTCGATGTCGATGGAGTACAACCCATCGGTGCTAGCCGCTTCCGCACTTGCCGCTTCTTCTCAACATGCATGAGGACTTCCTCCTGCACCTCGGCAACTGTTTTCGTGATCAGATCGCGCCATGCACGCCGATCAACCGCCTTCTATTCCAATGATCTGCAATCAAGATTAGAACGTGAGAGGCTCACTTTAATCATGTCCTGGTAACGCAACTTTGGTTTCCCAACGTGCCGCTTCCCCATACTCAGCTGACCATATAAGAGTTGTTTCGGTATCCGCGTCGAATCCGTACGGCTCACATGACCGATCCACCTCAGGTGCCTCAGCAAAATTATGCAGTCCATTGCATACATTCCACTTCGACGCAACACTTCCGCGTCAGCAATTCTGTCGCCCCAACCAATACACAGAATCCGTCGCAAACACTGCTGATGGAACCGCTCGAGATATCGCACTTCCCGATGGTACATCGTGCACGTTTCACTGCCGTGTAGATGAACGGACAGCACCATGGATTTGTACACCATCAGCTCCGTGTCAATGGTAAGCTCATGGCTGTCCCACACTCTGTACTGAAGCCTCCCGAATGCCGCCGCTGCCTTCGACGCGCGGATACGCAGCTCACTGTGTAGCTGCTGATCAGTCGACATCACACTCCCATGGTAACAGAAGCTGGAGGTGGTTCCCAATACTTCAGCACCAATGCTGATTCGCGGCAATATTGAAGATTGCACCTCCGGTGAAGGCTGAAAAAGACAGACAGTTTTGCTTGTTTTGGTAGTGAGCCCGAATTTGGCCGTTGTCGAAGCTAGAGCACTAGTTATGTGCTACAACTCATCTGCGCTGTGTGAAAACAATGCACAGTCGTCAGCAAACAGCAACATACGAATAGTTGTCTAACAGGCTAGAGTTCTCCCACCGAAGCAACGGATGTTCAGTAACGCACCGTCAATACGGTGCTCCACAGGAACACCGTAAGCACAAACCGCATCAAAAACACAAGATATCGTTGCATGAAGATATATATTAAACAGAGCAGGAGCTAAGACACAGCCTTGCTTCACACCAGTGAAAACTGCAAAGTCATCCGAGGTCTCTCCACTCAGCTGTACCCTCACTCGCATACCACTGTGCAGACATTCAATTAAACTTACAAACCTACGTGGGCAACGAAACTTACCCAACACCAGCCACAATGCCTCGCGGTTCACCGTATCAAATGCCTCGGTGAACTCAACAAAAAGCCAGTACAATGGCTGGTGTCGTTCTCTACACTTCTCTTGCAACTGACGAGCCGCAAACACCATATCTATATTTCTGCGACCCGAACGGAATCTACATTGCTCTTTCGCCACGTTAGGTTCCACAACCTGACTGACGCGGCGGTTGAGCAGGATTCGGGCAATCAGCTTGCCCACACAACTCAGCAATTTGATGCCACGATAATTCGTGCAACATTGCTTGCTCCCTCTGCCCTTGTACAGTGGTAGCACAAGGGCATCCTTCAGCTCAGGACGTACCTGCTCCTCAATCCATACACGTTGCACCAAGTGGTGCAGCGCAGTCAACAACGCGGGTCCTCCGTGTTTCAATACTTCAGGCGGGATCCCGTCGGCTCCGGCACATTTGCCGTTTCGCAGCTGAGCAATTGCTCTCTGCGTCTCATCCAGTGTCGACATGTCCGCCCGACTCGTCTTCACATCGTGCTGCTTCAGTCAGTTCAGTGTAGGCCAGTCGATCTCTGAACGGTTGTTCAAGAGACAGTCAAAGTGTTTTCGTCAGATCTGCATTATGTCTGCAGTCTTTGTACAGGTGACACCTGAACTACCATCGATCAGCGTCCTCAGCGGTTCCAAACTCGGTCCATACACAGCCTTCAAGGAGTCAAGGAATTCCTTGTGTTGGCTACTTTCGGCGTAGCATTCCATCTGTTTCGCCTTCTCTGTCCACCGTGCATTTTTTATGCGACGGAGCTCTCAGGTCAGTCGCCGTCGAACTTTACGAAACTGACTACTCTTCCCCAAGTCACTGCGGTCTGCCACATGTGCAGCAAATGCTGCATTCTTCCCCGATACCAATGCGCCAATCGTCGCATTGTTGTCATCAAACCAATCAGACCGCTTACAGTTTGCGCGTCAGATGGTCTCCACGGCAGCAGCTGTCACCTGTTCGCGAATGTGTTTCCACAGGTCGCCCACTGTGGCTATGCGTTCCACATCACACAGGCGTGCAGCCAACGCATTCTCCAGCTTAGTACGTTTTGCCACAGTACCGCTAGAATGTTAAATTTACGCCGATTCACGCCAACAGTGCAATACATAGGTGTGCGAAAATATATGTGCAGTTTGGTCCGCACCAATTTGTGATCAGTGCCACACTCAGCTCCACGCAGTACACGTGTCATGTGCATTTCACGCATATCACGCTGACGTACGATGACATAGTCGAACAGGTGAGCGTGACCATTCCGTGGGTGTGTCCAAGTTGCTATGTCACTCGCACTCAGTGCAAACCGAGTGTTTGTGATCGTCAGGCCGTGAGTGGCACACAGTGAGAGCAGCCTGTCACCGTTCGCATTTGCTGAACCAATGCCATGCGAACCGATAACATCTGTCCACACCGATGCATCACGCCCAACGCGCGCGTTGAAATCACCCAGCAGAAATAGTCGGTCGCTCCTCGGCACAGACCGTATCCCGCAGGATAGCTGAGTGTAGAATTGATCACGCGTGTCATCAGGATAACACATGGTCGGACCGTACGTGCTTATAAAAGTGGCAAACTTACCTCTTCCGAGTCGTAGGCGAACGGTCATCAGTCGCGCGCTGATGCCTGTTGGTTCACTCCCCAGCTGGCCACGGAGGCGATCGTATATTGCAAATCCGACCCTATGTTCACGTGGTGCTGAGGCGGCGTTGCCCACCCAGTAGAATGTGTAGCCAGCAACTGCTTCATATAACTTACCTTGATCAGCGAGCCGGGTTTCACTGAGCGCCGCAATATCGATGTGTTAACGTGCCAGCTCCATCGCGACCAGTGCAGTGCGTCGCTCGGGGCGCTCACACGAGTTCCGGCCCAGTGGTGTGCGCACGTTCCAGCACCCGATGCTGAGTGCTTTGCGCGCAGGCATACGATTGCATTGGTGGGTAATCGCACGCGAGATGGTCACTGTGCTTCGGAGGTTTGCTTGAGGGACTCCACCCGGAGCCTTTGGCTTAATAGCCTTACCCACAAGGCAGTGGGGAGCGGATCCAGCTCGGGAATGTGATTGCAGAGACAGATAGGGGTCTGCTTGATGGCCGTCACACGCAGCCTTGGAGGTACTGAAACGATTCATATATGTTTTGCGACCGTAGTAGGATACGCACCTGCGACCACGGCCAGAC